TTTCTGCTCTGTGTGGAGGTAATAGGAACTATTCCTGGCCCTGTGTGAGTTCCATGGATTAGTCCCTCTAATACTTCCATTGGTTATTTTTCTGGCTCAGGTTTCCTCACATGTGCTGAGCATTTCTCTGCTGAATACTTGAGAGAGACCTTCTACATAACTCTACAGTTCTCTCTCTGTAATTCTCCCTTCTGTACTCTTATCTTATGAATTCTGTCCTTCTTGTCTCCCCACTCTCTCAGCTCCATCTCATCAACTCAGGAGACTTCCAGGCTCTGGCCTGACTTTGCCCTCCCTGCATTGCTGCTTAAGAACTCTTTCCAGGTAGTGAGCTAGGACAGTTGTATGGTTGTTTCCATCTCTCAATATTCACTGTCCTTCGTTGTGATGTCCAGTGTCTTGAAAAGTGTCATTTCATATATTTTGTCCTGTATTTTAGTTGTTTCAGATGGGAGATTAAATCCTGTCTTTGTCTACCTCATTTTGTCTTGAAGTGGTAGTCTGGGAGTAGAATTTTAATTGGGTAATAGTGGTTCAACATTTCACTTCCATAATTAAAATATGAGAAAACTACTCTTGATTCTCAGAATTCTAGAACTTGCTGTGAGAAAGGAACAGTGTGATTCTGGGATGCTAGCTAGTGCTTAAGTGGCTAAAACCTGTCTCTCTGTCTGCTTCTACCTGTCTACCTCCAGTATAGAACATTCCATGCATGAACATAGACTGTGACCTTGGTATATTCTTTACTCTAAAACAGAGTTCAGTATGTGATAGGGTCTGTCTAGGACCCCCTTCCCAGAGGGTCTTTAAAGGACCTTATTAAAAGCTGGTTCCAAGACACAGAGGGACAATAGTATAACAAGTATTCATGATTTCTTGTGTCAGATTGTAGAAGTGTGAAGAATATGTTTGAGAGATTCTTACTTGTAGTCATTTCTGATTTTCTTTGAAACTCTTCAGACCTCCATTCTCGATGTGGGACTATCTAAACCCATACTAGCACAGAGATGCAGTCAGTAAGTTTTGATTCCTAAGTCTGGAATATTAGGTAAGAACAAGCATTTTAAATGCATTTCCCAAAAGACAGTAAATTCGTATATTCATTGAACAGGCTGCTAAGAAATGATTTAATGGTTACTTCTATAGACAGCTTATTAATAAGTTTTTTATTGGTTATACTTCATGTGTATGTACAAAAAACTGCTATATCATCAAAAATGAGAACTTTATGCCTTAGAAAAAGACTTTTAAAAATACATTTTTGTATTTGTTAAAGAAATTTATAATGTATGTCATATATATTTTAAAGGGAACAGCACCTCCCCAAATTTCTCTCCTCACAAACACACACACACACACACACACACACACAACCTCTTAGATCATACCATATTTTGCTAATGTCAAGAAAATACAATGAGATGAATGGCTGAGAATTATAAAACTTCCAGTTCTTCCAGAATCAATTTGTAGACTTAACAAAATTTCAAACAAAGTCCCAATAGGAATTCTTGTTTGAAATTGACAGATGATTTTATCAGCGTTTTTGGAAAAGTAAACAAGTGAAAAGAACTAAGACATTTTGAAAATAAAGAACACCATTTCCTTGCCCTACCTCTTGTTTAAAACTTTATAAAGCTACTGCTATAAGCAAACCATCACAGTATCAACACAAGATTAGAAACATACTGTATAGTCCAGGAATATTCTGGTATATATGACTTACCATATATTATTATAATAGAGGAAGAATCACAAGTTAATGGCAAAGAGATTGATTGTTCAGTAAACCGTATATGAGAAATTGGTTAGGAATTTCAGAAAAAAAACATTTTAAATTGTTATCACTACCACATACAAAGATAAATATTACTTACATTAAAGAGCTAAATCTGGAAAACTTCTCATGCTAAAAGAAAATGCAACTGAATGTGTAGTTGGCTATTGAATGGAGGTCTCCTAAATCATTAAAGTAATGAAGTAAAATCATACAGAAATTATATATAAATTTGACTACATAAAATTAAGAATTACTGAACATCAAAAACCAGCACAAAGTGGGGAAAATGTTTACAAATAATATGATGGAGGACTGACATTTTTAATATTTAAAGGGCTTGTACCAATTGAAAAAACAGTAAGTAAATAATGGAACATAGGCAAAAACATTGCTGATAATTCACTAAAAAAATGGAAAGGCCACTAGACATGGAAAATTATATAGCCTAAGAATCAGAACAATTGATTCCATTTTTATATATCAAATTAGAAAAGATATTTTAAAAGGATATATTCAATGCTGTCATGGATGTGGTAAGACAAATGCTTTCATAAGCTGCTGATGGGAATGTAAGTTATTGTAACCCTTTGACAAATAATTTTGTTCTGTATGTCGAGAGTCTTGGACTATTTATTCTCCTTGACTGCCTAGTATTTGCTTTTTTATTTCTCAGAAATCCATTTTGGGGAAATAACCATAAATATCAAAAATATATATGCATATTACAGAGTTATTTATAATAGTGAAAAACTGGAACTAACCTAAATGAACATTAGGTAAATTATAGTAAATTAGTATGTTGAGATTGTACAGCTATTGAAAACTCTTTATTAATAAGTTAAAGATATAGAAGAATGCCTATAATATAATATTAAGTGGGGAAAAAGGAGGCCACTAAATAGTTTATGTAGTGTGATCTCAAATATGTTAAAACACACACCCTCATACATACATACGTGAACGACTTGAAGAGCAGACAGAAAGACTAGCAGTCCTTACCTCACGGTGCTGGGGCTTTAGATGATTTTTATTTAGGGAGAGACTCAGGATAATTAGTGAATAGATAAACATTAATGGTAGTGAACCTGAAACTTAAAACGTTGTAACATAACATATGGCAGAAGTGGCTTCTGGGGAAGAGGTAGTTCTTAGGGACAATTATTTCTGAGTTCAAATCCTGCCTGCTTCTTACTGTGTTTTTCTAGGCAAGTTACTTTATCACTTTGAGTCTCCATATGTAAGGTGGTGATAATACCTACCTCATAGGGTTGTTTAGAAGATTGTAATAACAGATTGTAATAACATAATGAAAAGTGGCTGGCACGTGATAGTTACTTAATAAGTTTCTTATTTGTGTCCATCATGAAGCTTTCCTCAGAGACAATTTCATGACAAGATAATATGCTTGTCATAAACTGTAAACTAGGCAGTTTTCTTCTTTTAGCGTTTGAAAGACTTTTGTTTAGGGTTTTCTTATGTGTTAAATTTCCATGAACGTTTTGATTAGCCTTCCTCAGAAGTGAAATAGGTAACATCTGTTTTTCTTCTTAATAAAATACCAAGTGAAAATGATGCTCTTATACTTTTACCATTATAATATTCAAATGAATTCTCCTGAAACTTAGATAATGAACAATCATTGTTTTTCTATAGAACATTTTAAAAAGTGGGTATAATATCAAAATTTATCTTTCATTGCTCATTCTCAGAAATTTTACTAGTACCTGAGTCTGCATAATGTAATTCAGTGGCCATAATTCTAAGTGGGCAAGCCAGTTATAAGATTTTATGATATTTCATTAAAATTTTGAGTTTTCCTAATAATCTAGATATTTCTTTAATGAAAATAACCAATTTCTAGACAAGTTATTTGTTTTGCCAATTGGAAGCCCTTGATAAATCTTAAAAATTACATGTAATGGTTGAGTAATGCCCAATTTTGTGTGTAAATTAACACTCACTTTTGAATGGATATAGACATAAACCTATAACAATAATACCTCATGGTTACACACATAGGATTTTACAATTTACAAAGTATTTTTCCCCACATAAACTAAGCTGACTCTTAAAACAACCTTGTTAAGTAGATGTAGCAGATACTATTATCCTTATTTTACAGATTTGGAAACTGAAGCCCTGAGGGCTAAGTGAAATGTCAAACATTACACTGCTAATTCTAATTCTAAGTCCAGTGCACTTTTCACTTCATCATAGCACCTCTGTTCCCAGGCAGAAAAAGATTGAGGAATTCAGTGCCTTTAAGCTCATGTATTCTACTAGCAGAAGAGTCTTGGAGCTACCCCTTAGGTCAGAGATTGGGTTTAGAACCGTGTCTAATATGAGTTACTAATTCGACAACTTTTGTTGGTATAATTGAAGCTTTAGGTTAGTAGAGCTGCTAAAAGCAAAATTCCTGAGAAGTGATAGTAGACAGTGAAAGAGAAAATAGTAGAAATAGTGGAATTACCAATGCTAAAACAAAATATCTAATATACTGCAAAGATCCTGAGAGCATCCCTATATAGTAGTGTACTAAATATAATAACCGAATTATGACACTAAGTCATTTTTAAAAAGGTAAATCCTGTGCAGTACATTCAGGGTAAAAAGATATGCAAGCTACATAATATGTTTTAGGAAGATCTACATTAAAATGTTGAAGAGAAGGATTTTTAAAAATTTTTCAGTATATTTTATTTTATTTATTTATTTATTTTAATTTATTTATTTACTTTTATTTTTTGGCTGCATTGGGTCTTCGTTGCTGCATGCGGGCTTTCTCTAGTTGCAGTGAGCGAGGGCTACTCTTCGTTGTGGTGCGCAGGCTTCTCATTATGGTGGCTTCTCTTGTTGCAGAGCACGGGCTCTAGGCACGTGGGCTTCAGTAGCTGCAGCACATGGGGTCAGTAGTTGTGGCTTGAGGGCTTTAGAGCGCAGGATCAGTGGTTGTGGCGCACTGGCTTAGTTGCTCCACGGCATGTGGGATCTTCTCGGACCAGGGCTCCAACCTGTTTCCCCTGCATTGGCAGGCGGGTTCTTAACCACTGCGCCACCAGGGAAGTCTGAGAAGGATTCTTAAATAGTTTAGTTCCATCTATATACTTCTTTTATTTTCTTGTTTGCCTAGATTTGTCTGTTTACTGGTTTTTAAAGAAGAAATTTTAAATAAATTCAACATTAAAAAAAGATCAAATGGTAAATTATTATTTTATTCTAGGTTCTGTTTACAGAGGAAGATGTGAAATTCTACCTCGCAGAACTGGCCCTTGCTTTGGATCATCTGCACCGATTAGGAATTGTATATAGAGACCTGAAGCCAGAAAAGTAAAGCTATATTGTCTTTATGTATCCCTGTTACCAGTATTTCTATAACTACTTTTTTCTCCATTAAGTCTTATATTTTAAAGATTATATGAAAATATACATGAATTATACAGTTATATGAAACTTACTTTAAAAAGTAGTCTTCATAAGATACCCATTGATTTTAAATTAGTCATTTCAAAATTTTCCAGTATATCAAATAGATATTGACCTCTTTTATGATGATTTTTATGTAAATATTTTATGTAAAAATATTTTATCCCACATTGTTGAATGTGAATTTTGCTTTACAGCATTTTGCTTGATGAAATAGGACATATCAAGTTAACAGGTATGCAAATTTTCTCATTCTACCCTAAGCCTGTTTTATATTTTTTGTTATTTTAATATATATATTTGTCTAAGCCTGTTTTTTTCCCTCTTTCTTGATTTAATTTGCATTTTGTTTATTTCTTTGGTGAACTAAAATTCATTTAAAGGGTGGATAAGATAACTCTCAATATGCTCTAATTGTAATACCAAAAAATTATATGGTAGAGTCACTGTCCTCATTAAGAAATGACATTTGGTTTTCTAGGAAAAATCACATCATTTTTGTTTCAGTCTAGGCTGAAAGATTTATCATAAGTAGTTATCACATTTGAAATATAGTGAATTATAAACTTCTGAACCAAGTGTTTCATAATAAGAGGTTCATTTTATTCTTTCTTTTGTAAAAACACATTTTATTTTACTTTATTTTGAATGTTGAGCGTTTACTGTATGTGAAACACTGATAATTTTCACAGGACCTTTAGGCATAAAGTATCCTTATTATACCATTAAAAAACACCCTTTAATTTTCAAATAATTATAGACTCACAATAAGTTGCAAAAATAGTACCAAGAGGTCCTGTGTACCGTCACCCAGCTTCCCCCAATGGTGACATTTTACAAAATTACAGTGCATTATCAAACCCAGGAAATTGATAGGTACAGTTACAACTAACTAGACTATATACTTTACTTAAATTTCACCAGTTTTTGCACATATTCTTTTTTTGTTTGTCTTTGTGTATATCTCCATGACATTTTATTCACATATGTAGAGTCAAATACCATCACCACAATCAATAAGCAAAACTGATCTATAACCACAAAAGAACTCTCCTGTGCTGCCCATTTATAGTCACCCTTCCCACCTTCCCTAAATCCTGGCAACCACTTATCTGTTCTATATCTCTAAGTTTGTTATTTTAAGAATATGATATAAATAGAACTGTATAGTAGTCACACACCTGAACATTTATCCTAGAGAAATAAATACTTACATGCACACAAAAAACCTAAACATGAATTTTCATAGCAGCTCTGTTTGTAATAGCCCAAGGCTGGAAATGTCCCAAATGTCCTTCAGAGAGTGAATGGATAAACAAACTGTGATACATCTATGCAATGGAATACTACCCAGCAATAAAAAGGAAATAACTCTTGATATATACAGCAACTTGGATGGACTCAAGGGCATTGTGCTGAGTGAGCCAATCTCAAAAGGTTACTTATGTTTTAAATAGATAGTAAATTCTGTATTTAATTATCAGAATGTTAAAACAGAGATAAAATGAAGATGTGGGCTTTACAGAGAATTTTGGACCAGTGCACTTTAAAGGTAAGTTGCTTTAAATTCCTAAGTATACTTCTTCAATGTAAAAATAAAGTATGAAGTTGTTAACTTGAAAGCTCAAGTAAATGTGACAAAGTTCAAGTAAAGTTTAGTAAATCATTTTTTGATTCATAGCCTGATTCTCTTTCTACTATATGAAAGAAGCAAAGAAGATTTAAAGAGATTCAAAGAGGATAAGGAAGAGAAATATGAAGAGAACAGTAGAGTTTTGAAATTTTATATAATAATTTTTATTTTACAACAGTCAATCTTTAGTTGCAATGCTAATTAGAATTTAATTCTTTTCATTTTTCTTAATAAGTTATGCCTGTTTTGTCATGGGTGGGGAAAGAGTAGAATAAATTCAACCTATATCTCTCTTCTACATTAAGGTTAATTGGGTGAATAATGATGTCAACTTGTTTTATATTTAGTCTTATAATATGAATTCTGCTTTTACACCTTTTGGACTTAAACGGGCTGAGGAGTAAAGAGTAGTTAGAATCAATGTTAATTTATAAGCAAGGGACACAAGGCTTGTGACAGGAAGAAACTGTGATTTATATATATTTTTAAACAATTTAATCTATTTTCCTTTAAAGTGACACCAATATTCCTTTAAAGAAAGTACACAATGATAAATATTAGATAATTTACAGTTTCATGATTATAACAGAATTCAAAGTCTTGTAATGAATAATAAATTTATGGATGTAACCTCACAACATTCCAGTAAGGTTGGTTAAAGTGTGACCATTCATAGCAAGTGTTTTAAGACATTTCATTTTTTTTTCATTCTTTCCTTTAATTTCTTTTTATTTTTATACTTCCTTTCTTTTTCTTTATTTTCTTTTCCTTCCTTTCTTGCTTTCTTACCTGCTGTGCCTTTTTCGTCCTTCCTTCCCTTCCTTTTTTCCCTCCTTCTCTTCCTATCTCCTTCCTTCCATTTTGAATGCTATCATCGAGTACTATTTGCTCGATGAACTATGGTTATTCTTTTGGTTTATTTGGTGAACTATGTTATTCATTTCTATCACAGCCTGTGGAATTTGTAGAGGAAGCACAGGTCACATTGGCATCTTTTTAGAAGCAGACAGAAAGATTCCATAGCTGTCTCTTCCTGAGTTCAGTTTTCCTTGTTCAAGTTTGAATGCTTTGGCTGGTCTGGTAAATGTGCTAAGTCATGTGTAGTACTTTCAGTGAGCCCTTAGGGTTCTCATTTTAGGCAAAGGATCTAATTTCTCTGAGACATTAACTCAACTAACAACACAGCCCTGTAAATGAAAAGGCAGGAGAGGCCAGAACTGGGAATCAGGTGTGAGGAGAGGGTGCTATGGATGTGGAGGGTCAGGGCATTTGGACAAGGATGGATGTAAGAGTATCACAAACCTGGGTGGGAAAGGGAATCTGGAGTCTCCAGAATCACTTCTGAGGGACATAATTCAGAAGTAATTTTTATAAAGAGAGGGAAGATAAAATATGCAGTGTCAGAAATTAAATCACACAGTACTTGAGCTGAATAAGAAAAAAATGTATACATAAGAAAATAGTTTTAAGTAATTTTTATGGCTATCTGAAAATTAGGCACTGAAATTACTTTTACATATAGTAGATACTCATAAAAGTGTTGTGTTTTGGACATGCTTTTAAAATTTAACGTCTTTAAAAGAGTCATTTAAGGAAACAAAGGTATATCTCACCCCCCTGCCAAAAACCCTTTATATAGCTGATTTCTACATTTTCTTTTCAAATTAGTGTTTTGGAAAAAACACTGATTAACATATGTCTTATTTAATCTTGTAGCTAACTCTTATTATTGTAAAAATTTTTGTCCGTTGATTGCTGAGCAAATTCTAGTGTTAAATGTCAGTTTTGTCAGAGATAGTACAGCAAAGGACCTTTATGGAGTGGTGTAATCTCTGAAAGGTAACAGAGGATAAGAAAATTCTCTTCCCCTCTTCCTTCTCTGTGGAATGGCCAAAGAAGCCAGTGTTCTTCTCTACAAGGTATGTTGTTATATTCAGCTGAACTGACCTCAGAGACTAGGTTTCATTAAATTTAATTTTGAAATGGAATTGCAGAGTTTAAAAGCCTTAAAATGTGGAGAAAGAGCATAGTACATTGAAAAGATTTTTTAAAATTATGCTGAAAATCATAATGCATTCAGTTATTATACAAGAATTAGTAATTTTTAAATGAAAATATTGAGTATGGTTAAAAAATCAGTTTCAAGGGGTCCTAAAATTAAGTATTAATATTGTATTTTATTTTAAAAGAGAATTATAGGGCTCATAATTTTTTCATTTATAGAATTAAGGTATAATTTACGTAGAGTAAAACTCATTGTTCTTGTGATAATGGAACTAATTTGTATCTTGACTGCATCATTGTCATTATTGTGGTTGTGATGTTGTAATATAGCTTTGTAAGATAATACCATGAGGGAGACTGGCTAAAGGGTAAACGGGATCTCTGTAGTATTTCACATAATTGCGTGTGAGTCTACAGTTGCCTCAAAATACAAAAGTTTATTTTTTAAAGTTACTTTTTTGTGTATAGTTCTGCAAACTTTGACAAATGCATACAGTCAGCATCAAGATATAAAACAGTTCCCTCACTCCCCAGAATTTTCCCATTATAAGTCAATTCTCCCTTTACCCCTTGACAACCACCAATCTGCTTTCTGGTCCTATGGTTTTGCCTTTTCCACAAAATAATACAAATAGGAAGACAGTATATACTCTTTTGAATCTGGCTTTATTTATTTAGTATGCATTTGAGATTCATCTATATTGTTGTGTGTATCAGTAATTTCTTTTTTTATTGCTGAGTAGTATTCCATTTTATGATGGTACCATGGTTTGTTTATCCAATCCCCAATTAAAGGGCTTTTGGGTTGTTTCCTGTTTTTGACAGTGACAAATAAAGCAACTAGAAATATTTTTGTACAGGTTTTATGTGAACATAATTTTTTATTTCACATCAGTAAATACCCAAGTGGTGGGATTGGTTGATCATATGGGAAGTGTGTGTTTAACTTAATGAGAAACCTCCAAACTGTTTTCCAAAGTGCTTGTACCATTTTGCATACCCATCAGCGATGTATGAGAGTTCCAGTTGCTCTGCATCCGTGCCATTACTTGGTATTGTCAGTACTTTTTTATTTTAGCTCTAGTAAAAGGCATAGAGTAGTACCTCACTGTGATTTTATTTTGCATTTCCCTAACAAATGATGACATTGAGCATCTTTTCATGTATTTCTTTGGAGAAGTATCTGTTCAGGTTTTTTTGTCCATTAAAAAATTTGGGTTGTTTGTTTTCTTATTACTGAATTTGAGTTTTTAAAAATATACTCTGAATACAAGTCCTTTATATGATATGTGATTTTCAAATATTTTCTTCCAGTCTCCAGTTTCTTTTTGATTTTCTGAACAATATATTTTGAAGAGCACTTTTTGACTTTGATAAAATCCAGTTATCAACTTTTTTCTTTTATGGACTATACTTTTTAAAATATATATATTTATTTTATTTATTTTTGGCTGCATTGGGTCTTTGTTGCTGCATCCAGGCTTTCTCTAGTTGCGGCAAGTGGGGGCTACTCTTCGTTGCATTGCGTGGGCTTCCATTGCAGTCTTCTCTTGTTGCAGATCATGAGCTCTAGGCGCATGGGCTTCAGTAGTTGTAGCATGCGGGCTTCAGTAGTTGTGGCTCACGGACTCTAGAGCGCAGGCTCTGTAGTTGTGGCGCACAGGCTTAGTTGCTCCTCAGCATGTGGGATCTTACTGGACCAGGGCTCGAACTCATGTCTCCTGCATTGGCAGGCAGATTCTTAACCATTGCACCACCAGGGAAGCCCTGGATTATACTTTTGATGTTGTATCTAAGAAATCTTTGCCTAACCCAAGCTCACAAAGATTTTATCCTGTATTTCTTTTGGAAATTTTGTAGTTTTAGGTTTTACACTTAGGTCTATGATTCATTTTGAATTAATGTTTTTTTATGAGGTATGGTATGAGGACGGATTTTTGTATATCAATATTCTGTTATTCTGGCACCATTTGTTGAAAAGACTGACCTTTTCTCCATGGAATTGCTTTTACATCTTTGTCAGAAATCAGTTGGCTATATATATAGCCAGTTCTGTTATAATGCAACACATATGATCTTAAAAATCACTGTACTATGCATAATTGCGTAGTAAAAAATATGACTTATGGAGAAAATGTTGTTCGGGGTTTAACACTAAAATATATAACCAGTGACACATTAAAGAAAGATAGGAAGCTGTTAAAAATGATGGCATTGTTTTATATGTTCTAACTGATTAAGAATAGATAAATACTACAATAAATATGATACCTTACCTTGAAAAAATCCTGAAATTTGCTTGTATAATTGGCATCAGAAAGGTTGCAGTTTGTAAGTTATTGTGAAGTAGTGGGAGGTAAATTATCTGGAATTGGGAGTTCTAATACTACAGGTGAACAGAAGTGGCTTGTAACACACATGATGTGCTGAAATAGTTGGTAGATATTTGACGTGTGTGCATGTATGTATTTCTGCTTGGCTCAGTTCAACTAGGTGCAGTTTTCTAGTGTTTCACCTATTATTTCTTGTGGGCAAAATTGCACATAAACCAAGCTGAAATTTGAAATTCATGTTATATTCGCCAAGCAAACTCTAGTGTTAAATGTCAGTTTTGTCAGAAATAGTACAACAAAGGACATTTGTGGAGTGGTATAAATCTCTGAAAGGTAACAATAAGGTATCAATCACATTGGAACAAATTTGCAGTTTTAAAACAAGAATAGCAGAGCGACTGTATATGTCAGTCTATTCTTGGATGCTGTTTTGTTGCATTCATATATGTATGTGTGTGTGTAGTCTTTCTCCAGTACAACACTGTCTTGATTACTATAGCTTTATAGTAAGTATTGAAGTCAGGTAGTGTGAGTCCTTGAATTTTCCTTTTTTATTCAGAATTGTTTTGGCTATTCTATTTACTTTGTCTTTTTACATAAATTTTAAATTCAGCTTGTTGATTTTTACAGAAGAAATCTTGCTGGGATTTTTATTAATGTTTCATTGACTCTGTAGATCAGTTTAGGGAGAATTGACATCTTTAACAACATTGAATCTTCCAAATCATGACCAGTATCTCTCTCCATTTACTTAGATCTACTCTGATTCCTTTCATTGATGTTTATAGTTTTCAGCATGCAGGTCTTGTATATACATTCTTTGTATATTTATACCTGTGGATTTCATGAGGGTTTTTTGGTGGTGTTATAAATAGTACTTTTAAAATTTCACCTTTCAATTTTTTATTGCTGGTATATAGAAATAAGATTGATTTTTATATATTAGTATCTTTAGCTCTTCGAAGACCATAAACAAAGTGGAAGTTCACCAAAACCAAAGCAAAATTTGCTTTTCTAATATTTTACAAAGTGCAAATTACTATCATTTTTTGTCTTAGTCTGTTTTAAAAATTAGATCACTATGACAGTGTTGATTTAATTGTCCTTTCAAAATTGTTGAATCATATTCCTGTATAGACATGAAAACATGTATTTTGAGGATGAGGCTTAACTGAGGTAAGGAGCTTTCTTAATGGTAATCGTAAGCCATCATGAGTAGGTTTAATTCATAGTTCAGTTTCTTTTGGTATTTTCTATTTTCTGAAGATCTTCAGATATGTTTTTGTGTAATATTGTTATTATAGATTTTGGACTCAGCAAAGAATCAGTAGATCAGGAGAAGAAGGCCTACTCATTTTGTGGTACAGTGGAGTATATGGCTCCTGAAGTAGTAAATAGAAGAGGTCATTCCCAGAGTGCAGATTGGTGGTCATATGGTGTACTTATGGTAAGTAGTGTTTTTTTTAATTATGCCAATATACAATTAGTATTGTTTAGAATTTTAATCTGAGTGTTGGGATGTGTTAGGTGAGAATAGGGTTCTCAAGTTCATGACTGTTAAAAAACTTGATTGGCTAGCTGTTATACAATAAAAATTAGGGTTTTGGTGTTCTGATTTCTTTTAGTTGCTAGATTAAAAGGTAAATGGCAGCATTCTTTTACAAGTTATTCAAATTTAAAACTTAGATAAAGGCATACCAGATTTTAGATTTCAGAATACTGTGTTTAGTAGTTACATGGTATTTTAACTAGGTATCACAGAATTTAGCACCTTATGGTATATTATCTTATTGTCACATTTTTTCAAGCATGTCCCTAGAAAGATTGTAAACCTCTTAAGGAGGGCAATCCTGTCTTCTACTACTTATAATCTCCCACAGTATCTAGCATAATGAGCATATGGACTGACTGATTTGGTATAAGATTAAGCATAGAATTTGTAGTATTAAGTAGGGTGATAAGTGAATAGCTATTGAATCAGATACAATTTGCTCTAGAAGCCTGATAATCCATTTTTGCCTCTTTATCACTGAATTACCGTATGATGTATCAATATATTAAGTGGCTATTATAAGCCTGGGATTTGGTAAGGGCAGTGGGGTGGGAACAGATAGAAGTACAATATTTGGCATTTTCCATGACCTAAGAAAGCATGCTATCTGGTTGGGGAAACAAATGGAATAGCTAAATAAACTGCCTGGAAGTACCTTAGAAGTTCAGGCAAGAATTCATATAAGTTGATGTAAGAAAAGTGGAGGAGATAGAACTTAAATTAAGCCCTAAAGAATGGATAAAAGTCAAATAGCTGTGTGTCAAGAAGAATAGTATTGTGATAGTATTAGGAAAGACCTGGAGAACCAGTTTGACTAGAGTAGTAGTGGAGAATGAGGGTGAAGGTGGAGGAAATGAGGCTATAAGCCTATAAGGATTTGCACGCAATCCTCTGGGTGGTTGGAAACTTTTGTAGATTCTTGAACACGACAGTAATTAGAGAAAAAATGTATTTTAGGAAAATTAACCTTGGTAGCATTATATAAATGGCTTGCAAATGGAGGAAACTAAAAGTAGGGAGACCAAGAAGTTCTCCTTAGAAGACAGTTGTAAGATTACAGAATGAAAAAAAGGAGATCTTAAAGACATTTAAAGGTAAGAAGTGGCTGACCTTAGTAACAGATTAAATGCCACAGATGAAGCAGAGGGGAAGGGTCAAAGATAGAGATACCTCTAAAACTTCAGGGGATCGAAAGAAAGGTAGTTCAATAGAAAAGAGATAGCTTGGAAGGACAGCTGATTTTGAAAGTGGGGAAATAATTTATTTTTAACACGTTTCATAGGTTACTGTGGGTTAGTGTTTAACCCCTTGATAGTAATGAATTAGGAGAGGGCAGTGGAGAGAGCATCAGAATCATCTGAAGACCTTAAAAAACAACAGCAACAACAAAAAATTACTCTGCCAGCCAGCATATAGTTTATTTGAGGGGAAGGTGTGATTCCAATGTACTATCCTTCTCTTTTTCTTTTTGTTCTTGCCTTTCCACCTCTTATTCCTCCAGTCCCCAGGAGAGAACCATTATTTTAGGTTTGGCGACAGGGAACTGGAGCTTGAGAGAGATGATCCCCGTACACCATACTTCCCTTCGTCTTCATTCCCTTTCTATGACTCCTACCCCTATCTCTTCAGGCTCCAGTTGAGAACCATTACTTTAGATTTGGAAGGGAAAACTGGGGATTGAGAGAGATTGAAACTGGAATCGATTTGAGAGTCATCAGTCCTCAGGAGAGAGTTGAATGCATAAGCTAACTAAGGTTGTAAGTTCAAATAAATGAACAGAGGACTGAGGCCAAAGCCATTTTTGAATCTAAGCTTAAGATTTAAATATTAGGGATATAAAAACGTTTCTCTCTAGTGAGCTATAATGGTCTTCATTTTCAGACCTACTTTTTCTTTTAAATATGATTATTTAATGTTCTAGTTATCCACATTTCAATTAACTCTCTTAGGGAAAAAGTTTTCATTATGCTGTGTACAACTGTCTCAAATTAAAATACATATATCAGTGTGTGGTGTGTGTATCTGTGTGTGTAGCTTCTTGTTTGGTTCCTTTTTTTTTTTTCGTAAAGAGAGCAAAGGGAATGAGAATGATTATCTTTCTTGAGCATGTATGAATTTGAAATGGCTCAGTACTTATTTTTGCTTTTCTTTCACTGTTAAATGTCTGCTTTAAAAGCTTATCTTTGTTTTAAAAGAAAATGCCTTGTGTCTATTTCCACATTGCTTTGGTTTGAGGAATTTAGGATTGAAAAAATGGTAGGTTACATTTGCTACAAATCACCTCTCATTTGGCCTATATACTGTGGGGTACCAGAGGTGTATTTCCTTAAGCGACCTAGTTTTCTGGTCCTGTTTTGACCTACTATCATGTAGATTCTGCATGATTTGATGATCATGTATTACAAGTCTCATTTTTTTTCCTGAAGAATTTCATTGTAAATTCTAAGTTTTACTAAGTTGACTTGTGGTATTTTTTGTTTGTTTTAGTTTGAAATGCTTACTGGTACTCTGCCATTTCAAGGTAAAGACAGAAATGAGACCATGAATATGATATTAAAGTAAGTGTAAACATTTTTTTTTCTTTTGGGAAAAATTCCTTGCTTTCAGTTTTGAGAAACTTGTTATGGTTTTCATTTGACACAAAAGAACATTTTTCACTGTCTCATTCCCTTCCACCGTATAGGGGACATTATTTGCCATTGTGATAGCATTCTTTAAAATTATTTTTGGGATTTATAAATTTAGAAGTATGGCTAGATTTAAATGAAATTTTCTGAAATCCTCTTTTCCAGAGCAAAACTTGGAATGCCTCAGTTTCTTAGTGCTGAAGCACAAAGTCTTCTAAGGATGTTATTCAAAAGGAATCCAGCAAATAGATTGGGTATTATTTATTTTCTTAGCTTTTATAACAATATACGACATGCTTTGGGAGGATAATTATGACTTTATGTTTTCTGGCCTAAGTTCATTTACTGCTGTTATGTGTTTATACGTAGAATTCTATGTTTTATGTATGCAAAGATTCCAGTAAACTCTGTTATGCCCATCATTAAAAATGGAGTGGTCTAGTTATTCAGAACTTATGTTTAATATATATCATTATATCATATGAATGTCTCTTTTGACATAATTCACAGAGTTCTCCCTTCTGTAGGTAATCCTTTTAGATATTTGAAGATAATTATTTTGTCCCTTACAATATTCATCAAGATAAATGTTATGTTTCCATAACTGCTCATTATTTGGCTACTTTCTAGTAGCCTTTCCCTGGATCCAAATGTGATCCTATTATCCTGTTTATGTCCATGTGTTAAAATTTCAATGCCACTTTATTCATTGCATTTTTAATTTGGCCTATAGATATGAGATCATAAATTGAATTATGAAGAAAATGAAGGGGCTTCCCTGGTGGCACAGTGGTTGAGAGTCCGCCTGCCAATGCAGGGGACACGGGTTCGTGCCCCAGTCCGGGAAGATACCACGTGCCATGGAGCGACTGGGCCTGTGAGCCATGGCCACTGAGCCTGCACGTCCAGAGCCTGTGCTCCATAACGGGAGAGGCCACAACAGTGAGAGGACGGTGTACCGCAAAAAAAAAAAAAAAAAAGAAAATGAAAATTGCTTAAATTTTAATGCTATGTTAGACATGATTTTTATTTGATTCAGAAGGTATTTTAGTATTTCATGATACCTTATGTGCTTCAGCATGAACATCAACTATTTTTTTATTATATTAAATTCAGAGGACCAATTAATAAAACATCAGATAAGAAATCGTAAACTTTTCACTTCAAGGAATCTATGAAATGTGTGTACTCCTATTTACAGATAATAGCCTGGAAGCCAGGTAAGCAGATTAAAAAATTCAGACTGGTAAAAACGTTCTTTCCATTTTTATAGGCTCAGAAGGAGTTGACGAAATCAAAAGACATCTTTTTTTTGCAAATATTGACTGGAATGTAAGTTCAGTAGCAAGTTCGTTACTGAGTACCTTTAATAAAAGCAAAAACTCAAGAGTAAATGGTAGTATATGGACTTTGCTGATAAACTTAATCCATTTGTTTTATTTTTAGTATGAGATTTTATTTACAGGTGTAGCATTTCATGCAATTACCTTGAACCAGTAGATGTGTGGATGATATGTAGTAAATTTTTGTTGCTCATTTGTCTTACCTGTAAAATATGGTTAATATTCTCCCCTATTCTAGGTTGGGGAATGTGGGGGGAAGAAGAGAGAGGAGAAAGGGGATGAATCATAGGACAGATTCTTATAGAAAAATGAATTCTAAAGAATCTAAGATGTTATTTAATTTCAAATGGTTCTTTGTCATGTATTAGAACAAATTTAATTTGTTAAGAAGTGAAAATCTTTGTATATAGGTATTTTACTAAATTTTGAGAGAACATGAAAACAGAAACATTGTGAAATTCTGCAAAGTCATGTATTAAATTTTTTTAAGTTGCAACTCCCAGACTAATGAGCTTTTCTTAGAAAAGCTCACTTTTTATTGTTGTTTACAACACAGCTTTATGTATTTTATATACTATTAATCATCATAGGTAAGTGTTTTTGATTATTTAATTCTGGCACTGGTATTGAAAATTATCCCTAAAGAAAAAGTGTCTCTTTTGGTTTCTAAGGCAGAGGTAGAGAGCCACTATTCACTGACCAAATTATTATTTTTTCTGGCTTGTAGAACAGGTTTCAGAAGTTAATATTTTGATTTAGTTTTTATAGTTGTAAAACTGCAACACATTAATAGTATTAATAACCTGAAAGGCCACGCAGTGAACATACTGCATGGGAGTCTGCCCTTTGTCATATATGTGTGCATCCCTCTTTCGGTGTCCTTGCATTCCCTTGTCATTTTTTTCTAATGCTTCTCTGCTCTTCCTTTTTCTTTAACTAGAAAAACTAGAAATTATTTTTCCATTATTTTTATATCTAAACAGTTTGTTTATTCCTCTTAAATAATAAAAGAGTGGAATGTGTACATGTTTAAATAAATGAAAATTACTTTAAAGTAATCCTCTATTAATTTTCCCTCACTGCGAGACTGTGAGCTTTTAAAAAAGTAGATTTCCAAAAAACAGTTATGTTGTAAGATATTTTATATGTCTTTCTAAAACATAAATTTTAGGAAGTTAGATTGTTAGACAAGTTTCAATTTTTGAATTCTGTAAAAAGAGCTCTAAACAGTGCATCTAATGCATATTATTATGTGAAAACAAAATAGGTATAATGAATATTTCTTGGAGTTAGACTAATTATTAATTTTGATATCCTAGAATGTTATTAGTTATTTCTGCATGGTAACATTGTGATATGTTCTGTATGGTTATTTTACCAGTGAGAATTCAAGTCAGTTTTTGAAATCCAAAACTGAACAGAATTATTCCTCGTGAATGCAACCTGTGGCATTGCTGCTGTGTTTCTTGGTCTCATTTGATTCTGTACATTATCTCTCAAGTTTAGATGATACACAGAATTTGGTTAAGAGGTTAGAATTTGGTTAACAGGTATCTGAAGCCTGTTGAAATTTCATTTATGAAATTGTGAGTCTTCTGTTAAGGACTGTGAATATCATATTCTGCTTCAATAATTTTTCAAGTATGAATACGTTTCTGTGTTATTCTGTTATTTCTTCTAGAAATTATATAAGAGAGAAGTTCAGCCTCCTTTCAAACCGGCTTCTGGAAAACCAGATGATACTTTTTGTTTTGATCCTGAATTTACTGCAAAAACACCTAAAGGTAATGCATGTTTATGTGTAACATCAGGGCTTTTATTCAGTTAGATGGTTAAAAAAGTAAACTAGCTTCTTAGGTAAAAACTAAAAAAATTGTAAGTTTGCAGAGGGTGGTTTGCCCTGTGTGGAAGTGTGGATCCTATATACAGCATTGCTTGGACACCTTTCAAACAGAGGCTTTACATGGGAAATATTTACTAGGGAAGCAGAGACTAGAGCAAAGGGTGAACGTTTTCTTTTTTTCTTACTTTAAAAGTTTTTTGACATGCTAATGCATTAGAGGATGGGGGTAAGAGGTAAGATATGAGATATATCACTCTGACTCTTATAGTTTACAATTTAATGAGGTTTACTTTTATTGGCATCTGTTTCATACATTCATTCAACAAATATTGAATACCTACTATGTACTAAGCAGTGACAGTGCAGAAGTGAACAGAACAGACAAAAATTATAATCTACATGGAGCTTGCATAATAGTATGGGGAAACAGATAATATAAAATAAATCAAATACCTAATATAGTATGTCTGATGATAACATTTAATGGTTTCCTTTATATTCAAAGAAATGTTCACATTTCATATCATAAAATTCTGTGTAGCTCTAATTAAATATAATTATTTGGACATTAGATTCTCCTGGTTTGCCAGCTAGTGCTAATGCTCATCAACTCTTCAAAGGATTCAGCTTTGTTGCAACTTCTATTGCAGAAGAATATAAAATCACTCCGATCACAAGTGCAAATGTATTACCAATTGTTCAGGTAAATTCCACTTAGATTATTCAGATTAGGGATAATTATTTCTTTCAGTTATTGCTAATGGATGTACAGTGATTTTTAAGTGATTTTCAACTGCTTCATTTATCTCTGTATAATGAATTAAAGATGTCTCCATATGTTTTGGAAAAAAGCAGACAGTAGTAACCTTTAATTATATTTATGTGATCTCTTTTGGCAAGAAAATGTAATGGGTGATGTATTAGCTAGTTGATTTAATTATTGTATTGGCTTTGGGGATCTAGAAAGTCTACAATTTAGGATCAGTTCAGAATCTGTGTAAACCATTTATAAATACTGATAAAACTTCTCTAGAATTATTCTTGATTTTTAAAAGATTTAAGAAGAATGTATACTTAGGAGAGAAGATAAAAAATGTGAAACCATATCATTCTATTTTGTATTTTACTTTTTAACAAAAACAGATAAATGGAAATGCTGCACAATTTGGTGAAGCGTATGAATTGAAAGAGGATATTGGTGTTGGCTCCTATTCTGTTTGCAAACGATGCATACACACTGCTACCAACATGGAATTTGCAGTGAAGGTATTGTCTCTGAGGCTAACTTTTTTTTTTTTGTTTTATATGTGTAAGTTAAATTGCAGGTCAACTGACAGTTTTTCAGTGGAGCAAGTGGAGAAAGCAAAGATAAAATGATGAGGAAAACCTCTTAAGACTTAATATTTTCATTTTGAATTTCTTTCCAAGACTTTATTTTGTTCAATAAAAAAAGACTTATTTTGGAGGAACAGTGTGTTTCATGAATGTCTTGCTTTTGAATAATTTTATTTTAATGTAGTATGTTAAGATTGAGCAATTGTGACAATTACTGTCACATTTGGATCAAATTATCAGTATAGTTTTAGTTAGATGGAATATAATGTTGAAGAAAGTGCTGTTTTTTATTGTTTCAGTTATAGGAAGTTTTTAAATATTAAAATAATGTGAGACAAACATTACTCTTGAGTTTTATTATTTGCTTGAAAATATAACCAAATTTAAATTATGTCATTCATTTTTAGACAAAGAAAATATTTTTCCTCTGAGATTTTTCTTGTCTTATTTCTTAGATCATTGACAAAAGTAAAAGAGACCCCTCAGAAGAAATTGAAATTTTGATGCGCTATGGACAACACCCTAACATTATAACTTTAAAGGATGTAGGTATTTAAAATCTGTGTATCAGCTAAGCTAATGAAGTTATGACTTGGCACTTTATTTTCTTATTGAAACTTTTCATGTCCATGGTATGTTTACTTTCATGCCACAAAATCTTAAGACTCTTAAATTTGCCACTTCAGTTCTTCTTTTTCCCCTGATGATTTTATACTACTACCCTTCTTATAAAACGTCAGAAAGGAATTATGACGGTTGGTAAATGAGAGTGTCCTGATTACTTGAATGTATTCTAGCTGTTAACTAGTTAACATTATCACCAGCAACATTTATTATTCTCTAGTACTACAAGTATAGAAGATACAGGAGATTGGGAATCTGCCAAATTCTAGGAGATTTTACTTTCTTGATTGTACAGCAATTGGCTGTAGCACTGTGTATTGTTGCTTGGCTGAAATAGTATTAGTCTACTTTTTTTAAAGTGAACATATGACTCATAGTAATAGATGTTACTGAATGCTGACTTTTCATGTAAAGAAAATAATGCTCTTTCCTCTGTAGAAAAGGCAGACAATAAACCATCACCTTGATCAGTTTGTTTCAGATAATATGATATGCATTTTGATTTATAATCCTTAAATATTATTTTATATATAAATGTATGTATGTGTGTGGATAGATATATGTCTACACATATGGTTTGTATGTGTAGATGTAGATATCACGTGCTCTGAATAAAAGGGTGTACATATTTTTAATATATTCTCCTTGATATAGTATTTGAATTCAACAAATATTTAAGACACCATGTCAGATAATAGACTATGGGGAAGATATTAAAAAACAAATAATATATTTACTGCCATAAGGAAGCTTACTATCATTAAGGAAGGAAAGTGCCTATAATACAGTAAAAAAATGAGACAGATGCCATTTGAGAGGCACAAAGTTCTATTTTTCCATTTATATTCTTTGATGAAGTATAACAGAAAACTTCAAAAGTTAATACAATTATATGTTTAACATGGTCTCACAGAATGGTGTAAGAGTCCATTTAGCCAGTTTAACCTTCAGTAGAGCCTGCACTATATTAATACTAAAGGAATAATATTTTTTAACACTAGAGGTTCATTAGAAAAGCAAAGTAAATATAATTTAAAACATTTCAGAATTGTAATTATAAATAATATCATTTTGAAAATATGTTCTTTTTTAGGTTTATGATGATGGTAGATATGTTTACCTTGTTACGGATTTGATGAAAGGAGGAGAGCTACTTGACCGTATTCTCAAACAAAAATGTTTTTCAGAACGGGAAGCTAGTGATGTACTGTTTATAATAACTAACACAGTTGACTATCTTCATTGTCAAGGAGTAAGTTGTAGTTATAGTCTTCCTTTTAATTCTGGGGTTTATATCTTCACAAAATAATATATAGGATATGACACCTAAAATGAATTACTTTTTATCACATATTTTTATACGGAATAGCCTAATAAAATTCATAATTTAGTGAAGGTTATAGGATTAGGAAATTGGGTAATACCTTATTAATTTTCTTCACTCTACCTGTTAGCCCTAATTTAATAGCATATTAGTTTTAAAAGTGGTTTGAATTATATATCTAACCTTGACTTTTAAATTATTAAACCTAATCAAACTTAAAAGTGAAACATAAAAGAGTTATCCAAGGGCATGTTGTGAATATTATTCAGATTATACTATGCTTAACATGAAAGTTCTGGCAAGACTGCATATCTTGATTGTTGCCAGCCCCTCCCCCAATACAGTGAGAAATTTGGATTCTAAACATTTGAAGTATTACTATATTGAAATTTCTAGTGGAGGCGCAGGCCTGTTATTTTGCTTCCTATCTCTTCATAAAGAAAGCGAATGAACTGAGTTATCAAAACAAGGTAACTTTTATTATATATATAGCTAAACAAGAAAACAGAGTCACAAATAATTTAAAAATGTAAGTTTGAATAGTTGTAGTAGTAGATATGTACCCACTTACATATAAACAATAAAACAATGAATGACTCAGAAATGACATAATGAAAATACTACAGGGGCCAGAACTCATTTTTGAGTGTGGTTTTACAGAGTACGTTTTCAGCATTTTGAAATGTAAATTGTATAATGCTAAAGGAGTAATTCTATAATAATTTAATTCCTTGATTGTCTTTATCAACCCACTCTAAAATAAAGGATGACCAGAATTTTTGAGAAGAAGAAAATGATAAACATCTTCTCTTTTGTTTATTATTTTAGAAATTAAACACTACATCAATTAAGTAAATTAACGACAAACATGTGTTGAGCATTTCTACATGCCAGACATTATAAAAGGTATTGCAGATTCAACCATGGGTTTAAGTCTTGATCCTTGTCTTGAAAGACCTTTTAATGTAGTAAACTGCTGATTAAAAATAGGACTAGATTGAATGAAGTAGATAGTGTATCAGAAAGAAAATCATCACAGAGAATTTCAGAATATTTTCCATTTCTAGCATTTCATTTGGTTCTTACTGTTTCTGTTTTTCTGCCGAGTTTTCATGCATTGAAAGTGTTTTGTTTTACTACGTTATTTTTTAAAATTTCTCTTATATTTATTTAGTCTTGTGAATGTTGAACAAAGGCATTTTGATGAGCTATAATTGACATATAACTTTGTGTACGTTTAAGGTATACATGTTGATTTGAGACATTTATATGTTATTTTGCTACCATAGCATTACCTAGCACATCTATCATATCACAATAATAGCCACTTTAAAATGCTTGCTGTTAGGTCCAACATGGTTTATATTGGAGTTGGAACTGATTTTCTTTTTTCTTGAAATTGTGATCTGTTTTGGGGGGAGGGGTTCTTTGTATATCAGATAATTTTGGATTGTGTACTGCACATTTGTGTATTAATGTACAGAGATTGATTATATTCTGTTATTTTTCTCCAGTGATTATTTTTTGTTCTGTTTTCAGTGGGTAATTTTCTTAGGAGGGTTTGTGCTGAAAAATCTGCTTTTTGACAAGTATGTACTCCCCACCAGAGTCTTGTCTCCTTTTGCTCATTCCCCAGTACCTTCAAGGTAGTTGATTTTTCTACTTAGGTTTTATAGTTGTTTACCGTGGGGAGGGGGTGTTGAGTAGGGTCTTAGTCCATTATATCTACAAGTGGAACTGATAATTGAGTTTTGAGATTGGAAGTGGTTAACAAAACTGGTGGCTTGATAAAAACTGGCACATCTGGGGCTTCCCTGGTGGCGCAGTGGTTGAGAGTCCGCCTGCCGATGCAGGGGACACGGGTTCGTGCCCCGGTCCAGGAGGATCCCACATGCCACGGAGCGGCTGGGCCCGTGAGCCATGGCCGCTGAGCCTGCGTGTCTGGAGCCTGTGCTTCGCAACGGGAGAGGCCACAACAGTGAGGGCCCACGTACCGCAAAAAGAAACAAACAAAAATAAAAAACCTGGCACATCTGTCTGATAGAGATAATTTTGTCTGTGTACTTCAGGTTGTCAGGGCAATCATGGTTGGAGAAAGTATCATTTTCAAAATTTTATGATTGAGACATTTCCCTTTCCTGGAAATATATTAACTTACAATGTTTTATTCCACAGATATTTAGTTAGCTATAGAATTGTAAAGCATTTTTTTTAATGTTCAAGGTTGTTCATCGTGATCTTAAACCCAGTAATATTTTATACGTGGATGAATCAGCCAACGCAGACTCCATTAGGATCTGTGATTTTGGGTTTGCAAAACAACTTCGAGGAGAAAATGGACTTCTCTTAACTCCATGCTACACTGCAAACTTTGTGGCACCTGAGGTATTCTTTAAAACTTCAGTATTTGCCTTTCATTCTTTTCCTTTAGTTAAATGTATTTGATATCATGTATATGTTATGGTAGGTAGGTAAAAGCTGAGTTATCTTGTCCTTTCCCAGCTATAAAGCTCTTTAAATCATTGAATTCTGATAACTCCCAATATAAATATTCAAACTAATAACTAGCATCTGAAACCAACCTGAATGTAATAATCAGATTATTCTATATTCTGCTGGGTTACATAGTGGTTTCAGAATCATACCCTTTTAGAGCAGGGCAGAGAGTGAAGATAACCTCACCTTAAACATATTAAATATTCTAAAGGAGGAAACTGAGGCTCAAAATACTTAATATCAGCATTCACTGTGTAACAAAGCCAGGATAGATTTTCAGATATTTTGGTTTGTGCTGAACATGAGGTGATTTATATTGTTTAGCATTATACATAACATGGGCAATGCCATCCCCGATTATCTTTAAGATCTTCTAATTCATGGAGAAAACAGCTTCACAGGGTTTTTTATAAGCGGTAGGGTTTTTCTTGGCAAATAACATTCGTATGTAGATCTTAGAAGAGACAGGAAAGGTGAAGATGAGGAAGTCAAGGGGTGCACGTTTCACATTTGGCAAGCTCCAGCAGTCTGTCAGTTCTGATAATGGGGATGGGAGCTTTGACAGTAGCAACTCCCACAGCAGTGAAAGTATGGGTGACGAAAAATGAATCAGGGATGGCATTGGTCATATAGATTCTTTATAAGTTTTCTTTGTAAAAGTCAAGAACTGTTCTTATATGTTATGAATAATGCTAAGTCATATGAATTATCGGATGTTTAACACAAATCAAAATACACAGATATCCTCAGGTTAGAAAAATTGAATTTTCCAAGTCAGAAGAAGAATAATTTGAGGATGAATTCCTATCTCCTGTGCATGGTTTTTTTTTGCATTAAATACTAGTCCTTTATGGATAATATTGCACATCAGATATAATACAAGATACAGCATATTTCTTATATTGAAATATCAACAAATCTGTATTTTAATGTAGCTATTAGAAAAATAATATTTCTAGTGAAGAAAATAGAAACATAGAAAATAGGAAAATAACTTTCTAATAGTGAAAAGTTCCCATGTTAAAATTTATTAAATCTTCCTTTAAGATGTTAATGTTGAGGAAGAAGTATAACACCTGCTTTACAGGGTTTTTATGATAAGATTTTCCCTGTAAGAAATTGTGTATGTATGCAGAGAATGTGCTCTAATCTATATTTTAATTATATTCATAGAATAATGAATGTACAAATTTTTATCACATTAAAATATATAGAAACTGTATGTCCCAAAACAAAAATTGGGATGCATGCATGATCCAAGAAGGGGTTATTGTACTGCCCCCAGGTGTAAGAGATATCTTAGACATAATAAATTAGCTTTTCTAGGGCATTTTAATGGTTTTATAGAATAGGAAGATAGAAATTTGAGATTAAGGCTCTTCTGTTAAATATAGGGTATACTGTATACTTCTCATCTCATTAAAATGAAAAATATACAGTATGCCTGTGTTTAGATTAATGGTTAGGTAAACATTTTTAGATTAATGGCTAGGTAAACATTTTCCTAGGTAAATGAGTACAAATCTGCAGAGTAGAATACAGCCCATTGATGCTTTTTATCCTAACAGACTTCCATTGTAGTAAGACACTCTCACCATTGTAATAGTGAAGGTTTTCAGGTGGGCATGTGGAGACCACTTGTCTGTAACTAATGCCTCTAGTGTCTGAACTACCTTTGGCTAGGTTAGAATTTGTATTTTCAAAATGCTTTGAAAAGTTTTATTATCAAGAGCTGAAGCCTCTGCTAGCAATCAATGCATATTTGTAAATTGTTATAAATGTAAAACAGGTTTGGGGTAAGATTTGTTTCTAAAATTTCAGACCCCTTCAAAAATTATTAGTGAAGTGTATGAAATGCATTATCTTTTCAACTAGAATCAGAAAGATTCAAGTATCCATGCAGATATTTGAATAAATAATAGCATTTATGAGAGTATAAATTCATTATTCATCACAGTTCGTTAAGATCCCTTATTTGCTAAAAGAGAAACTAATTAGTAGTACTAATTTCAGCTGAACAATAAGGAATATTCATTCACTTTTTTGATATGCATCAATTCAGTTAACCTCTTAAGGCTTATTTACTTAATAGATGTGCTTTTGTACTATACCTATGTCACAAAAATTAATGTATCTCAAAAAATATTTATTCTTTTATAAAAGCAAATCTATCATATTATTCAACTGACATTTAATGTCTACTGAGGTCTAAGAATGATCCTGAACTAAAGGAATTTACAATATATTGGATGGATGCTATGCCTGCAACTCTTTTTAAAAAGTAAATGTGAAATTACCCTGCTTTGCTCTGACTTTAGGCTGTCATATGTTTTGCTCCAAATATGAATTTATCTGAATGAGCATCTCTGTCTATGTTACATTTTGATGATTTGGGAAGCCAAATGAGAGAGAAAGTAAAGTCATTAACTACTTTAATTCTGACTTCTATCTTCTTTGTATTTAACTTGATGCAAGTAAGAAGGTATGAAACACGTTACTTTCTACATTGTACTCTTTCATTCATCCCGCTACCTTGCCTTTTTTTTTTATGGCTCTATGTTCTCACTATTAATAGGACATTGATATCTAGAACAAAAGTAGACTGCCTCTTCTTTACACCTACAAAATGGGTTTAAGTGTGTGGTAAATCTAAACCAAGTTTTTCATGATTGATCCTAATTAGATTAAGCAATATGATCCCTCCAGTGCCTTTCTTCTCATTAACTCTGAAGGTTTTGGGAGTATGAAATACCTATAGCTGACTCACTGATTAACCCTTGCCTGTCCAACTAGTTCACTAAGCAGTCCCTCAGCCTTGGCTTTGCATTGGATCATCCGGGAACCTTTAAAAATATTGTCCTAAGGGAACCAGGGAAAACATGGTGATGCCCAGAACTGCAAGAAATGATGAGAGGGCTTCCCTGGTGTAGCAGTGGTTAAGAATCCTCTTGCCAATGCAGCGGACATGGGTTCGAGCCCTGGTCCGGGAAGATCCAACATGCCGTAGAGCAACTAAGCCTGTGCACCACAACTACTGAGCCTGTGCTCTAGAGCCTGTGCTCCACAACTACTGAAGCCCACAAGCCACAACTACTGAAGTCCGCATGCCTAGAGCCCATGCTCCACAACAAGAGAAGCCACTGCAATGAGAAGCCCGTGCACCGCAACGAAGAGTAACCCCCACTCACCGCAACTAGAGAAAGCCTGCGCACAGCAACAAAGACCCAATGCAGCCAAGAATTATAAATAAATTAAATAAATAAATGTATTAAAAAAAGGAAGTGATGAGAAAAGGAAAGAGATAAGGGAAAAAAGCAGGAGAGGTTTATGTTTCACTAGAGGATGCCAGGTTAGGCTTATCGTGATGTGAATTGTTTAGCTCTACCTCATTATTTATTAGGGCCTTTGTAGTCTCCACTAGTGTTATTTACATAAGCCAGCTAAATAGGTATTTTGATAGCCTACTCAGCTTCCCAAGTTTGCAGATACGTGTGTTCTTATAAATACACTTTGACTATGAAAAAAACATAATATCTTGAATTTTAAGTTAGTTAGATACTTATTATTCAAGTCTGGCCATTGTCAAAGCTAAACATTAATATTTTTAGCCTTTTATAAATGAAATTGTCCATTCTGGTGGTTATACAATCCCCAGTGTTAACGCATTAATAATGTTTCTATTTTGTTCCTATGTCTAAAGGCTTTAGCAGTGGGCTTGTTTTTCTAAATTTAAAAAAAGGCCTCATTTCACCTCAAACTAGCTATTAACTTCACAGAGAATATTCACATGAATATATAATAAATATGTTATTTGACTTTTATTAATACTAGTCTCAAAAGAAAAAACTACCTAAATTATTATATGAAAAATTAACAAAACCATTCAGAATTTATCAAATGTGTGTTTGTGATCCAGAAATATACTGATTTTTTTTAAGACATGAGCCTTGTATATAAAATATAAATTCATCTTGCTTTCATGAGATTATATATTATCTTACCACCTCTTGTGTAATAAGGAGGCAATTATCATAGATATTAAAATCACAGACACTAGAGTAAGAATGCCTGCTCCACTACTCACTAGTTTTGTGATATTGGGCAAATTACTTATCATTTACGTCAGTTTCCTCATCTTCAAAATGGAAGTAATATCTATCTCATAGAGTCAGTGTTAGGGTTAAAAGACAGTACTCTGTGTAGAATATATTAAGCTCTCTATACATATTATTTTAAATTTTGATGTGTCTGGATTTCCTGAGAGGAGGAGTGAAAGCTCATTGAGGTCAGGGATCATATCTTTAAAGGCTGTTTTTTTGTATCACTCATGTTGCTTAATCACATTAATAGCCACTTATTGAATGCTTGTTAATTGCAGAAGACTTTCCCTTTAACATTGTGAATCTATTTTTGAAAAGATTAAAATGAGCTAAATTGTGAACATTTGTGAGATTATTAGAAGCACAACTTTCTTTTAGATGAGAAAACTGAGTTTATACTGAGTAGTACCAGATGAGTATTTCTTTCTCAGGTTCTTATGCAACAAGGCTATGATGCTGCTTGTGATATTTGGAGTCTGGGAGTCCTTTTTTACACAATGTTGGCTGGGTAAGAAATTTATATACTCAAATTAATTCATATAATTATTTGAATTTCACCTGTATATTTTCATCTAGAAAGAGGACAGATGAAAATAACCTTAAGGAAAATGCTATCAATATTTTAAAATATTATATATTATATACTTATAAAATTAAAAAAACATAAGGTAAGGTGTTTAAGGAGGCATTATTTAGATATATAATTAAAAGATTGTTCAATTAGAACTAAAACTTCAAAATAAAGCATTTATTTTTATTTTGATATTTTACATTTGAGTGCATTACTTTTTGAAAATGTTTACTTGAGCATAAAATAATTTCATGGTTCAGCAGGTGCTTACCCACTGAACTTGCTGATGTTAATTTTTTTTAAGTACTTGAATTTTGGTTCTCTTGGCAATAGAGATTTAGTAAGATCGAGCTTTATAACAAAGCTAAATAAAGTGGTAACAATACTAAACTACAGAAACACGCACAGCTGCCTTCTTTTAAAAGGATAAAGAAATACTAAAAAATGTAACCATTGGATTGTGTTAATATTGTTAATTTATAAATAATACAAGTGCTGTTTTAATAATGAGTAGCACTTTTATTTAGGAGTAAAAATGTGTAGCCATAGATAAAGGCTAGGTTTAGCAAAGTCTAATGTATAGAATGAAATTTGAAGAATTATAATATAATTATAATGTACTTAGGTGTGAGTTTTTAAAGAAGCCATTTAGTATAATTAAATATGCTTGATGTAGCAGGAGCTTTATAAAGATAAGTTATGAAAATGGTGACTCTAAATTATTTATTGGCTTGGTGATAATTACATGTCAGTATATTCCACGTACTTTTAGACATAGGCAAAATAGTTATAGACCACAGCAAGTGCTAAAGTTAAGGGTAGCTCAAGTTTTCATGTGAACAGCAATCAGCAGTATTGGTTTCAAACCATGGGATACAATTTCTAGATAGCTGCTTTCAAATATTTACTTTATGACTAAACAAAACATTTTGTGTGTGTGCATATGTATGTGTGTTTTTGTCAACTTAATGGTTACATGAGAGAATTAACACATTAACATATTAAGACATCTTCCTCATACTTTTTAACCATAAGTCTTTCTGTTCCCAAATTTGAATACCATTTTTAGTTCCATTTGCTACAATGGTATAAAACTGATCACTTTTTGTCATTCTATAATTATTTTTTAAACTATTTTAACTTCATACAATGTATTTGTCTTCCTGTCCATGAATACTGATCCATGTAATAATTTTAATGGCTATAGAGGATTTTTCTGTTACATTGATATAAATATTTAACCAGTTTTTCATAAACATTAATTAAAACTATTGTTAACTTGTTTTCACTGATAATATTGATAAAATGCTAATGAATAACTTTGAGCCAATTCAATAAATATATTATGAATATATAAAATTAACAATTTCTTCATAGTAGGTATATTTGGTTTGCTAACTTATGCCCGTGAGAATATAAAATTTGCATGTTTCATTCTGGTCTGATTTTCAGAATGTAGAGCTACATAAAAAGCTACCTTTATTTTATTTTGCATTGATTAACTGATCAAAGGCAAAAAAAAATGATTGATGTAGACAAGACTCTTCATTTTATTAAATAATTCATTAGGATTAAGTTTATTGTTTGAAATATAAAATTTGATATGAACAGTAAAGGGAAATTTTAGGTGGTATTCTTAATTTGCTATAGTAAATATATCCTTATAGTTCTATACTCATCACTTTCAGTTAGATTTAATATATATGTTAGGCCCTTATGTATACTTAAATCTTTTTTTATTAATAGCTATACTCCATTTGCTAATGGCCCCAATGATACTCCTGAAGAGATACTGCTGCATATAGGCAATGGAAAGTTCTCTTTGAGTGGTGGAAACTGGGACAGTATTTCAGATGGAGCAAAGGTATAAATTATAAATGTTTTGTTTTGTTGAATTACTGTTAATTCCTGAAATCTTTAAGTTATAGCCTAGTCTGCATTTGCAGAGTATCTGATGGTGTTTTATGTCAGTATTTGTTTTTAAATCACAGTATTTGTTTTTAAGTCAACTCACATATATGTGTGAATTGAAGAAGACAAAGGCTGAATTTTTTTTTTTTTTTTGCCATGCTTCTGGGACACATTTCTCTCTTATCAGTTCACATGTGATCAGGGAATATAAACCACTTCCAGTATTAACCAAAACCAAAAATGTAAATCTACTGAGGAAAAATACATAAAGCCAACTAAAGTTGGTTTCTGCATTTAGTATGTTTTTACACATCATATCTTCTTTAGCACAGACATTGACTAGTGATTATGTAGGTGATTTTTATATGTTAACTTATTCTTAGAGAATATACAAACTTTTTATCAGTTGTACCTAGATATTTATGATTGATGGCTAAGAGCTGTCCAATAGAAATGTTCAATATGCAAGCCACGTATGTAATTTTAAAATTTCTAGTAGTCACATTAAAAAAAACAGGCAAAATTAATGTTAATAATATATTTTATTTAACCTGGTATATCCAAAATATTTCAACATCTAATCAATATTTTAAAAATTAGTGAGATTTTACATTCTTTTTTCATACTAATTTTTCAAATTCTTGTGTGTCTTTTATACCTATAGCCCATCTGAATTTGGACGTACCTACATTTTAAAAGTGCTTAATAGCCACAGGTGGCTAGTGGCTGTTGTTATTAGTGAAGTTTCAAAGTAACTGGCCTTACTTAATTTAGGGAAAAAAATAATAGGTCAAGGCTTGAATATTAATTCTTACATTTATAGTCTAAAAATTTTAAGTTTTAAAACAACAACCCAAAGTTGTCAGCATGTGGTTTATAGGGCCCTGAAGCATTTAAGCTACATTTTGAAGTAGAAAACATTTTAAGACAAAAGGATTTGCTTGTATTTAATATCTGCTAATGATAAAACCTAATTGTCTCAGGGACATTAGCTAAACATTATGGAGTAAATCTTGTATCCTGATCACTGTAGAATTAAAAAATCAGGGATTTGATTATCATTACCTTTCAAACATTAGAAACACAGGGAGGGGATTGTGTTTGGATCTTAGCCATAACACAAGTGTGCTGTGTGGTGTAGTAAAAGGAACACCTGATTGGAAGCCAAGAGAACTGAGTGCTAGTTTTTGATCTACTAACTACCTGCCTCAGTTTGCTCATCTGTAAAATTTGGGGATTAAGTTCTCCCTTTGGTTCCTTCCAATTCCAAAATTCCATTGCTATGCAATTTGGTTTATTTTATAATTTGTCAGATTTCCCTTTATAAAGTGATTTAAACTACTAATATTATTCATTAAATATATGTATTTTCTAATCAGCCAGGTCATGCGTCAAAAAGTACATTTTCCCAAGGAACAATTCCAATGTTTAAAGCTATACACATGAAACTCTTGTGTTCCTCTAAAAAAAATAACTAGCAACAGTGAATCTAATGCTGAAATAGAGATTTATATGCCACTTGTGCTTAGATTTTTGGTTTTCCATGCTCTGTGTGTTTTATGTTTGTGTCTGTGTAATGCTTAAGGAATAACAGATATCAATAGATATATTAGTTGGGAAAACTGTAACATTTACTGTCACCTCATGACAATTGTTTTACTCAATTATAGTTCCTTATAAGTTGTTTTTCCCTTTCCAGTGCTTTTCTTGACATTGGTGAGTGTCACTATCAGAAGCTGTTTGCCTCCTGTCCATGCACAGTTCCTAGAATTTGTTCATTCAGTTAAATGGGGTGGGGGTGGGGGTGATAGTGGAAGTCATGTTAGCTTTCTGTGTCTTATTGCTGCAATAGTTTCAGCATTGAGAACATTGACATTGCTGCTTCCCTTTTGTTAAACAGTGGGGACAAGGAGAAGAATCTGGTAAACAAAACAAAAGTAGAAGAGGCAAGAGAGTAATGAAATTTTCATGGTGTCACAGTATATTAAAAATAAACACAGTAATACCTGATTAATTACAAGGCATTTCTATCTAAATTTTACAATAATTTAAGTAAGTAAAATGTCACTTATTTCAAATACATACACCCTTGACCAAAAAAAGAATTGCCCAGTAGAAGTTTTTACAGGATGGTTATTTGTGGCTTCCTCCCTTGCCTTCTTTAAAAAGATAACATGTGCTTTTCCTCAACTGCATTCCTATTACTGCATTGTATGTACTTTTATTAGAGTATTAGTACTTAATCACTTTCTCCCTGGTTATATATTCATTTGTATGCATTTTTACTTTTCCCACTCAGGGAGCTTTAAATGTCATATTCACTTTTGCATTTCCTATCATACCTAGCATAATAAATACTTAATTGAATACTCTTTTCACAAGCTATTTAATCTTTTCCTCAAGTATACCTTGCATTGTTAATTTACACTCTAAGCTTTTTTTTTGTCCAATATAGAAATATAAGTATTTTCCTATTGTGAATGACTATACATTTGGAATAAGTGGTCGTTTTTTTTGATTAATCAATATAATGCCAATTTACAATAACACCAAGTTCTCATTATATGTGGGTCATTTCTTGAGCACTCTGAACTGTTACATTGACATACAGTACTTGCCCACTCCCATGCCAACATTACACTACTTTTATTTTAAAAGTCTTGTTATTGCATAAATAAGTCTCCACACCTTATCACTACCATATCTTCTTCCTCTTCAAAATTGTCTTGGCTGTTTTGGTTCTTTTTTTTTTTATACAGCAGGTTCTTATTAGTCATCAGTTTTATACACATCAGTGTATACATGTCAATCCCAATCGCCCAATTCATCACACCCCCCCAGCCCCCCGTGCCTTTCCCCCTTTGGTGTCCATACGTTTGTTCTCTACATCTGTGTCTCAATTTCTTCCCTGCAAACCGGTTCATCTGTACCATTTTTCTAGGTTCCACATATCTGCGTTAATATATGGTATTTGTTTTTCTCTTTCTGACTTACTTCACTCTGTATGACAGTCTCCAGATCCTTCCACATCTCAACAAATGACCCAATTTCATTCCTTTTTATAGCTGAGTAATATTCTATTGTATATATGTACCACTGTGAATGGCTATAAATTCGAAATAAGTGGTCAGGTTTTATGTAAATATTTCTTTACCATTTTTGGCTTGAAGTTGCTTTTAAGTGAAGTCTTTTGTTTGCATATTTAAAAGTCATAGATTTCTAGAGCTAGGTGGGATCTGGTCCATCATTTTGCAGAGAGATAAACCAAGGTGTGCAGAATTTATCTTGTCCATGGTCATACACTGAGTGGCATAGCTGGAATTGATTTTCAGTCCAGTACTCTTTTCAGTCTGCCGCATGTTAGGGAAGACTTTCTGGAGGAAGAAAGGCTTGATTAGCTTGGATTATGTGGATGGAATGGAGAAGAAAGAGGTCTATAACCCTTTAAGGCTCAGAGGAAAGGTGTTATCGTTCACCTACTTCTTTCCTATAATATGGAAATTAAGTATACCAAAGCTTATTACTTGTTACTTAGTCTATGTTGAACAGCAGCTTTACAGTTAAAACACTATATTGAAATGTAAGGCTGGACACTATAAAACTCTTAGAGGAAAACATAAGCAGAACACTCTTTGGCATAAATTGCAGCAAGATCTTTTTGGATCCACCTCCTAGAGTAATGAAACTAAAAACAAAAATAAACAAGTGGGATCTAATTAAACTTAAAAGCTTTTGCACAGCAAAGGAAACCATAAACAAAACAAAAAGACAGCCTTCAGAATGGGAGAAAATATTGGCAAATGGGGCAACCAACAAGGGATTAATCTCCAAAATATACGAACAGCTCATGTAGCTCAATATCAAAAAAACAAACAACTCAATCAAAAAGTGGGTGGAAGATCTAAATAGACATTTCTCCAAAGAAGACATGCAGGTGGCAAAAAAAAGCTCATAAAAAGATGCTCAACATCACAAATTATTAGAGAAGTGCAAATCAAAATTGCAATGAGGTATCACCTCACACCGGTCAGAATGGCCATCATCGAAAAATCTACAAACAATAAATGCTGGAGAGGGTGTGGAGAAAAGAGAACCCTCCTGCACTGTTGTTGGGAATGTAAATTGGTACAGCCACTATGGAGAACAGTATGGAGCTTCTTTAAAAAAACTAGAAATAGAGCTACCATACGACCCAGCAATCCCCAATCCTGGGCATATACCCAGACAAAACCATAATTCAAAATGATAGATGCACCCCAATGTTCATTGCAACACTATTTACAATAGCCAGGACATGGTAGCAATCTAAATGTCCATCAACAGAGGGATGGATAAAGAATATGTGGTACATATATGCAATGGAATATTACTCAGCCGTAAAAAAGAACAAAATAATGCTGACTGCAGCAACATGGATGGACCTAGAGATTATCATACTGAGTGAAGTAAGTCAGAGGAAGACAAATATATGATATCACTTATATGTGGAATCTAAAAAAAGGTACAAATAAACTTATTTACAAAATAGATGTAGAGTCACAGATGTAGAAAACAAACTTACAGTTACCAGGGGATAATGGGGGGGGATGAATTTGGAGATTGGGATTGACATATACACACTACTATATGTAAAATAGTTAACTAATAAGAACCTGCTGTATAGCACAAGGAATTCTACTCAATACTCTGTAATGACCTATATGAGAAAATAATGTAAAAAAAAATTGGATATATGATGTATGTATAACTGATTCACTTTGCTGTACACCTGAAACTAACACAACATTGTAAATCAACTATACTCCAATAAAAATTTAAAACAAAAACAAAAACACTATACTGAAATACTTCTAGAACTTCTAGTACTATAGCTTTCAAACACCTTGTGCCAAATAATACTAGAGAAAGACTACAATGTCTAAACAAAGCTAGGGAAGTGCACTAGCAAATTCA